TCTCCTCACCCCCCAGGCCACTGGTGACTACATGGGTGTGGCTCTGCGTGATCAGAAGGTGCACTGGGTGTACCGCTTGGGAGGAGCGGGGCCCGCAACCCTCAGCATTGACGAGGACATTGGGGAGCAGTTTGCAGCCGTCAGCATTGACAGGTGGGAGGCCTGCCCCGCTGCCGGACTCCCCCCTACTGGCTGGGTTGCATGTCCACTCCAAACCCCTTGGCCTTTGCCTGCAGGACCCTCCAGTTTGGCCACATGTCTGTCACGGTGGAAAAGCAGATGATCCACGAGACCAAGGGTGACACAGTGGCCCCTGGGGCCGAGGGCCTGCTCAATCTGCAGCCCAACGACTTTGTCTTCTACGTGGGGTGTTACCCCAGCAACTTCACGGTGAGCCTGACCCAGCCTGGGCACGTGGCTGTCCCCCGCACGCTCGTCCAGCACATCTTGCTGGGTATCTGGCTTCAGTCTGCCCCGCTGCACCCTGGGTTCCTTTCTGTCTGGGGTGGGGGTGGGGGAGGGGCCCTGACCCTGTGCTGTGCCCACAGCCCCCGGAGCCCCTCCGTTTCCCCTGCTACCGGGGCTGCATTGAGATGGACACGCTCAATGAGGAGGTGATCAGCCTCTACAACTTTGAGAAGACCTTCCTGCTCAACACCGCTGTGGATAAGCCTTGTGCCCGGTACGTGCGGCGTGGTGACCCCCTCGCCCCGACTTGGCCCACCCTCTGCTGACCCCACGGCCTCTGACCTGCAGCTCCAAGTCGACTGGAGACCCGTGGCTCACTGACGGCTCGTACCTGGACGGCTCTGGCTTCGCCCGCATCAGCGTGGAGAGACAGATGGGCACCACCAAGCGCTTCGAACTGGAGATGCGTCTGGTGTCCTCCCACGGCATCATCTTCTTCCTGCAGCACGAGGCAGGCCCCCTGGCCCCGCCCCCTGCCGCCCGCCCTGCTGACTCCGCCCCCTGCTGCCCAGCGCGGACTCCGCCCCTGCCGGCCCCGCCCTGCCGACTCCACCCCGTGCTGACTCCGCCCACTCCCCAGGACCAGTTCCTGTGCCTGGCCGTACTAGAAGGTAACCTCCTGCTCTTCTATGACTTTGGTGCGGGCCTGGAGAAGGCTGTCCCGCTGCAGACCCCGCCGCCCCTGACCGCGGCCAGCAAGGCGGTAAGGCGGTAAGGAGGGCGGGCGGGGTGGGCCGTAGGGGACGCAGCTGGCCCTGAAGCCCCTACGTCACGCCGTCCAGATCCAGGTGTTCCTGCTGGGGGGCAGCCGCAAGCGCGTTCTGGTGCGGGTGGAGAGGGCCACCGTGTTCAGCAAGGAGCAGGAGAACGTGCTGGAACTGGCGGATGCCTACTACCTGGGGGGCGTGCCGCCAGACCAGCTGCCCCTGAGGTGAGCATGCGCAGAGCGGGCGGGGAGGGGCAGGCTTCTCCCCAGGCCCCTCCCTCGCTCCCCAGTGCCAGTCTCCCCACGCACGCTTGTCCCGCAGCCTGCGGCGGCTTTTCCCCTCCGGAGGCTCAGTGCGTGGCTGCGTCAAGGGCATCAAAGCTCTGGGCAAATATGTGGATCTCAAACGGCTGAACACCACGGGCATCAGCGCAGGCTGCACGGCCGACTTGCTGGTGAGCCCCCACCCTCCCTGCCTGGCCAGCAGTGCTCCCTCTGGCGGCTGGGGCCCTCACAGTCGCTCTCCCCGTAGGTGGGACGGACCATGACCTTCCATGGCCACGGCTTCCTGCTCCTGGAGCTTTCCGACGTCCCGCCTCTTGGTGGCAACATCTACTCCGGCTTTGGCTTTCGCAGCACCCAGGACAGCGGTCTGCTCTACCGCTGGTCATCACCGGTGTGTCGCCCTGCCCTTCCCCTGGGGGCCCCTCTCTCCCTGTGTCTGACCTTTGTCCAGCCCTCCCGAGGCTGACTACCTACCTGCTCCCCCACCTCCTGCAGCAGCAGTGGGGGCTCGGGGCTGGAGAGAGTGAGTCTGACCCGGCCACTGTCCCCAGGATGGGCCATGCGAGGTGTTCCTGCAGCAGGGCCACGTGACACTCCGGTTTGTGAGGACCGAGGTGAAGTCTCTGAAGAGCTTGGCTGATGGTGCTCCCCATTACGTCACTTTCTACAGCAATGCCACAGGGTGAGCCGGGGGCAGGGGCCGTGGGGCAGCCTGCTGCGGGCAGGCAGGCAGGGCCGGCGGGACACTGCTGTCCCCACAGGGTATGGCTGTACGTGGACGACCAGTTCCAGCACATGAAGGCCCATCAGGGGCCACGGCCCCGGCCCCAGCCGCAGCCCGAGACGCTCCTCCTGGGGGGCTTGCCGGAGCCCGACACCCTGCGTAACCTCAGCGGTTGCATCAGCAACGTCTTCGTGCAGCGGTGAGCTGTGTGGGTGTGGGGGCGGGGGCGGGGGCGGCGCTGCCCGACTCGCCCACCGCCTGCAGCTGCTGACGCCCTCCACAGGCTCCTGGGGCCGCAGCGCGTGCTGGACCTAATGCAGGACGTGGGCAGCGTCAACGTGAGCTCAGGCTGCGCCCTGGTGCCCAGCACCCAGATGCCAGCGCAGGTTCCACGAGGACTGCGAGCCGCTGCAGCTCGGAAGGTGGGCACCGGGAGGGCGGTGCGCTGACGGGGCTGGGGCGGGCACAAGGCAGCCTGAGCATCCCTGCATCCCCATCTGACCCGCAGGCCTCCCGGCACAGCCGGCAGTCCACCCAGGACCCTGCCTGCACACTGCCCGGGCCCCTCAGGACCATCCGAGATGCCTACCAGTTTGGGGGACCCGTGTCCAGTTTCTTGGAGTTTGCAGGCCTCCCGGCTCCCCCAGGGGACGGGTAAGGCCGGGCCAGCGGGGTGGGTGTGGGCGGCCGCCCACGCTGACCCCTGTCCTCGGCTTCCAGGTCCCGCCTCTCGATGCTTGTCCGGCCTCGCACCCCCCGAGGACTCCTGCTCCTTGCCGTCCCCCTCACGGCCGACAGCCCCTCCCTGGCTCTCTTCTTGAGTCACCGACACATTGTCGTTCAGACAGAAGGCCCTGGGCCCCAGCTCCGTGTTCAGAGCCACCAGCGTTTACGGGCTGGCCAGTGGCACGAGGTAAGGGGCTGAGGACGGACATGGGCGGGGCCCTAGGAGCCTCCGTGACACATCTTTCCCGCCCCCAGGTGGCCGTGTGGTGGGGGAAGACTCAGGTCCAGCTGCAGTTGGACGGGGTCCGGGCCCTGGGCCAGGGCGAGCCCGGTCCGCATCACCGAGGGGCGGAGGGCCCCCGGCCCCACACTCTCTTCGTAGGGGGCCTTCCCATCAGCAGCCACAGGCCCAAGCTCCCGGTGAGAACCCCTCAGCCCAGCTTCCCTACCCTGCCCCAGCCCAGCCAGTGCCGTCCTGGGCCCTGACCCTGCGTTCTCCGCCACAGGTGGCCGTCAGCAGCTCCTGGTTCAGCGGCTGTGTGAAGGGGCTGGAGCTGGACGGGCAGCCCCTGAGGGTCCCTACCCGAGTGGTGGGCGTCACACCCTGCTTGTCGGGCCCGGTGGAGAGGGGCCTGTTCTTCACGGGCAGCGGGGGAGCCATCACCATAGGTCTGCTTGCCGGGCTGGGGGAGCGGGGAGCAGTACCCATGCAGGGAGGGGCCTGGGTCTTGGGCCCTCGTCCGCTCACAGCCCCTCCCCGCAGACACCCTGGGGGCCACCCTGCCTAATGTCAGCCTGGAGCTGGAGGTGCGGCCCCGGACGGCCACCGGCCTCATCTTCCACTTGGGCCGGCTCCATGCGCCCCCCTACCTGCGGCTGCAGGTGCTGGAGAAGCAGGTAAGCAGGTGGGGGCTGATCACAGGGCAGGGCTGGGATTGGCAGGGCCCTCCTGATATCCACTCCCCACCCGCCACGTCACGCCAGGTCCTGCTGTGGGCAGACGACGGTGCGGGCAAGTTCTCCACATTGGTAACTCTCTCCAAGGCGCTATGCGACGGTCGGTGGCACCAGCTGGCAGGTGAGCCGGGCCCCCTCTGCGTGGTCGGATATTCCTGGCAGTGCCATCCGCCCCTGCTCCTGTAGAGTGCCTAAGAGGGATGTGGGCCGGGGGGCAGCTTTGGACCTTCAGGCAGGGGACCTCTGGCCAAGCAATGGGGCCAAGAGCCCCAGGCACTGGTGAGAGGCCCTGCCCAGCCCGGTCACCAGAGCCTGTGTCCCACAGTGACCAAGAGCGGGAACGTTCTCCGACTAGAGGTGGACTCACAGAGCAGCCAGACCGTGGGGCCCATGCCGGTGATCTCAGCCTACACCCTGGTGCCTTTGCACCTCGGGGGCCTGCCTGGTGAGTGCGACCTCAGCCTGGTGGGGAGGGCTACCCCTCGGGGACTGGGAACTGGGGTCACCCTGCTCTCATCCTACCCTCCTATGGTGGGGGGACCAGCTAGAAGCTGGCCTCTGCTCCAGCCCATCTCCCTTCTTCTTCCCCTGCACCCCCAGAACCCACGGACACACAGCCTGGGCGCCCCACCCCGACGCACCCTTGGTCCCCAGTCTACCTTGGCTGCATGAGGAGTCTGGTGGTGAACTGGTCCCCCGTCACTTTGCCCCCCTCCGCGGGCATGCAGGGCGCAGTGGGAGCGAGCGGCTGTCCAGCTACGTAGCACGGCTGCCCCTCTGGGCCCCCAGACCCAGAGCCCCAGCCCCTCACACAACTCCCTGACACCATCACCCTTGGCCAGTCTCATAGGGGAAGCGTGTGTATATTTATCTTGACTTTAGATTCTACAGGTGGTCTTATTTCTGGAAATGGTTTGTCGTGTCTGACTTTCTAAATGAAAGGGTAAAATACTATAAAATGGGTTTTTTATACTTTTCATCCCTTTCACCAATTTTTAATATTTTGAGAAATCTATAAATCACTGGTTCTTAAAAACAAAAATTAAAGAGGAACTTGTTTAACTGAGTGTGGCCTTTAAACCGGAAGACAAGGGGTTGGGGTTGGCGCGACTCCTGGGCACAGGAAAACCAGAGTTTGCAGATTAAAGAAAAGACGTTTATTAGGTTGCAACAGAGGAAAGAGGGTGTGTGACGGGCGTGTCCATCACACAGCCAAGGACCCCGCCCCCGGGAAAGACGGCAAATAACTTAATCCAGGCTCATGTCCTCCTCTTCGTCCTTCTTGTCCTTCCCGTCACCCTCCTTCGGCTCCGACCTGGCACTGTTCTGCATCGCTTTGGCAAATGCCTCCACATCTACAACGCATTAGAAAACGTGAGGCCCCGGCTGGGTCTGCTGACCCGAGGCCATGGGGACAGCCGGCCGTGTGCTCTGCAAATGGGGAGGTTGGTTCCTTCAACTACCGGAGGAAAGCAGCGCCCAGCAGCAGGCGGAGCAGCATGTACTCACCACCCTTGTTGGCGGCCTCCACGGCCTCCGCAGGCAGGCCGAACTGGCACATGAGGGGGCCCAGCTGCCCCGAGGCCAAGGCCGCACTGAACATGCCCAGGGCCTGCAAGGGAGACCAGTCGCCTGAGCGAGCGCAGGGGCCGGAGGGGCAATCACCTGGGCAGGGCCTGGAGGCGACGGGGCGCCACGCTCAAGGTGGGCAGAGCACACCCCTCCCCTGAGCGCACGGCAGGGGCCGCTGGGTCCCGCTGTCTACCTGTTGGAACTGGGGGGAGGTCAGCGTGTTCTGGATCTCGTCTGCGGTCTGTGGCAGTGACTCCCCAGAGGGTAGGTAAGGCAGCAGGCGCTCCTGGACGTCCGCGTTGGCAAGGATTGGCGCCATGATCTCGGGCGTCAGGACGCTAGCCAGGTCAACTAGGGCACAAGCACAGCCATCAGCGGCTTGAGGCCAGACACGCACTCGGGAGAGGGACAGGCTAAGCTGTGATCTGCTGGGGGTAGCGTGGGGGGCGGGGGGCGCAGCACAACCCGGGGACGTGCTCCGCCACACCTCGTACAGCCCGTGGGCAAGCGGGCAGGGGCGCAGGCACCTTCCCCCACAGCCTGGAGCCAAGGAGCACGCATTACCTTGCTGGCCGCCTCCGGGCCCGGCTGGCACGTTCATAGTGGCCAGAATGCTCTGCAGGTCACTCAGCTGGATGGGCTGGGTTGGGCTGGCTGCCGTGCTGGTTCCGTTACCTGGACTCGGTGCAGGGCTTGGGCTGGTCGCCGAGGCAGCTGCTGGAGCAGAAGGGGCTGGGGTGGCGCGGGCGGAAGAGGCAGTGGAGGACGGGGTGACCGCTGCCGACTGGCTCCGGGAACTGGGAAAAGCAGGGGATGCTGGAGCGACCACAAGCCTACAAGGCGCCCGTAACATGTCGGCTCTGCCCGGCACCCCTCCCCCTGCAGAGGCGACAGCTGGTGGCACCCAGGTGTGCACGGGGGCAGCGTGCGAGGCTCACCTGGATGAAGAGCTGCTCGCCGGAGGCCCTCCGCTCCCCAGCAAGCTGGCCAGGCCCGGCCCAGTCAGGGCCCCCAGCCCGCCTACAGCAGCAAGGAGACACGAAATCGGACGTCAGAGGGGAGCCCGCCTCCTCTGCCAAAGGAGACAAACGCCCTCCACTAAAGCTGGAGACAAGCAGAGGGGTGTGGTGGCTGCCATGGGCCCGGGGGAGGGGCTGAGGGCACACGACTGCTCAGGTCGTAGTGTTCCAGAGGCCGACTCCATCAGGTCAGACGCCTTCTGTTCAGCCTCTTACGCTGGGGTTAAGGCGGCAGCAGCGCAATCCGGAGCAAACGAGCGAGCGCTCCCTGGACGTCCAAGATGCGCGCCCACCGACCCCACCGACCGAGGGAAAGTGGGGCCCAGGCAGGAGTCCGGAGCTCATGTCCTCAGGCCCCCTCCTCGGCCAGCTGTGCCCCCCTGAAGCAGGCAGCTGGGTCTTCACTGGGGCCCTTGGGAGGTGGCGCAGGGGGTACTGTGACACCACTCAGAGCCAGCTAGCAGCTGACAGAAAACAGACCAAAGGCCAGAGCACAGCCCTGGGCTGCGGCCAAGGGCCCCGGGCCGCACACGTTACCCAGTCCTCCAAGGCCGGCGGGTCCGATGAGCTGCATGAGCTGGCTGTGGCTCATGTTCCCCAGCAGGCTCTGCAGGCCGCCCTCGCCTGCAAGAAAGAAGGCGCTCAGCGCTGGCCGCTGGCCTGCACCCGCCCGCCACGGGGCTCCGGCCCTGCCTGACGCGTGACGATGGGAGTGGAACCGTCCGGGAACCAGGGAGAGGGCGGGCCTGCGCCATCGGGATCCGCGCCATCCACACGCTCGGCCCGCGCCGCGCACCAAGGAGGCGAGCATTACCGCCCAGCGCCGAGAGCTCGTGGCCGCCGCTCCCACTGGCCCCCAGCGCGCCGGGCATCGGCGGGTTGTTCAGGTACTCGTTGACTTTCCGGCAGTGCTCCTCGTCCTGGTCCGTCTTGGGCTCCTGCGGGCAGGACACAACACCGGCCACAGCTGAGTGACCCACTCACCACTGCCCTGGCTCACGGATGAGGAACCTGAGGCTCAGAAACCTGAGGTCACCGGTCCCTGGTCACACAGCGCCCGGGAGAGGACGCGGCTGAGGTCACCGGTCCCTGGTCACACAGCGCGCGGGAGAGGACGCGGCTGAGGTCACCGGTCCCTGGTCACACAGCGCCCGGGAGAGGACGCGGCTGAGGTCACTGGTCCCTGGTCACACAGCACCCAAGAGAGAACGCGGCTGAGGTCACCGGTCCCTGGTCACAGCGCCAGGGAGAGGACGCGGCAGCCCCCGCGACGGCCCGTCAAACGAGGAGACGAAAGCATACGAGCGCTCAGCTCACCCAGGCGACATGGCCCACCCTGCGGGAGGGGGTCTCCGCACAGCCCGCCGTGACCACAAGTCCTTCCTTCAAAGAAATGGCCCCCTCATCACAACGCTGCCACAGACCGGCACAGCCCACGGCCCCTCGGGTGACTGGGAACTTGACCGTGAGCCCCTGGATGAGTTGGAAGTCATCGGGCAGTGTCGCCCTGTCAGCACCCCAGGCTCCTTTGTCCAACCGTCACTGAGCACGTGCTGTGGGCTTGCAGGGTACTGGGGACACGGGGGACAACTTCGACACAGTCCCCGCCCACAGGGCCGAGGGTCAGCCATCCCACGAACAGCACTGGGAAGCGAAGGCAGCGCAGGCGAACGTCAGGCAGCGCTCGGAGAAACCCTGCCACGGGAGGACCAAGCCGTGCCCCGGCGCCGGGCAACCGGGCCCCGTCTGGGCCGCTCCCACGGTCCTTCGGCACCATGAGCAGCTGTAGCACAAGCCGTGTGGCCCACCAAGAAGAAAGCCTTCCTGCCAGGCTCTGGGAAGTGCTGGGGCAGGGCGGCCGGGAGGGAACGTGGTGGCATCTGCCAGAACTGCAAATGCACGTATATGCCAACGCACGAACAAATCCGCTTCCAGATTTCAACGGACAGACGACACCCATCAAGTCACCTTAGCACGACACTGCCCATGACAGAAAGGAATGGAGACAAGCCAGTGGCCGCCGGGTGGAAAGAGAAACGGAGGCACTCCCACCTTGCTGGGGTGCTGCCTGCAGCTGTGGTGCGAGGGAGCCCTGGTGCCCAGACCACGCCGTCACCCCTGCTTCAGCCCTGGGCTCCCCAAGACCCCGGAGAGGCACTGGGAGACGAGCAAGCCAGAGGGCGATGCCCGTCGACACACCAGACAGGCCAGGCTAGAGATCACTCGCTTGTCTGCCAGGAAACTCCTCACCGTGAAGGGGCGCCCAGCCCAGCTGCAGTGTTCGCGCTCGAAGGCCGCCCACACGCCCACCCCCAGGTGAGGCGCTGGGATGCTGTGGCTGCCCGACAGACAAGCCCGGTCAGCACTGCTCGCCGGTGAGAGCCGAGCCCACCGCCCCCAAGCACGTTTCTAACCTAACTCCATGCCGGCGAGAAAGGACCCACACGCACAAAACCTACATACCTGCATCCAGAAGAAGAGGCGTTTGGACCCTGCCTTGAACTTGAGCACGTAGACTCTGCCGCTGGGGCACTGCGGCACGCGCTTGAACTCACAGTCATCGGGGAAGATGATCAAATCCTGCAGACAGCCACCAAAGAGGAAGAGTCAGCTTGGCGCTCGCACACGCCACTGAGACCCAGAGCCTCCCCGAAAAACACGCTAGATCCCGTGCCCAAACGTGTGGGGTGGGAGGAGAGGGCCCAGGACACACGAGCAGTCAACAAGGCCCCCGCCAGCAGGGTACCTGCAGGGCAGGTAAACCAGGGTCAGGGGCACCCACAAGGGGCGTGGGGGCCGGGAGCAGGGCTTAGTGCGGAACAGGGGAGGTGGACTTTTGACTCCTGAAAAATTTTTCAATAAAACTATTTTGGGAACATCATTAGAAGAATTAAAAAGTCACCTCTGATCTGCTCTCAAACCTAAAAAAGGACTAAGGACACTAAATAAAATGACCTTAGAGCACACTTCCAAAGTGACAAAGGTCAGGCCTTTCGCACACCTCCTCCAATTCTAGACACCTCACCTTCGAGTGACAGGAGAAACTCAGAACAAGGTAGAGACTAGGAAGGGCCACGAGCAAAGCACACAGCTCCCGAGGGCAGCAGGCCAGTGACCCCCAAGCCCACCAACGCTCCCCCAAGTGTGAGGCCACTGCCGCAGGCCCAGAGCGCGGCCTGGGCGGCTCCCGTCCTTCTGTTCTGAGGACCGAGGGCAGGGCGGGCGGGGGTCCCCAGGAGGGGGTGCGGGCCGAGACACTCACGTCCTCCACGTTGCCAGACGTCCTGTCCTTCCAGCAGAAGTGAATGAGAGAGTCGTCCGTCTGCTGGACGTACACCAGCCCTTTCCTCTTATCTGGGGTGACGGTAGTTCCTTTTAACGACATTTTTCCTGCCCGAAACTCCACTAAATACTTGTTGGAAGACCCACGGGAGCCTGGCACCAGGCTTGGAAACAGAGCGCCTGAAGTCGTCATCCTGCAAGGGGGACCAGCATGCAGACCTGGTCACTGTCACAGAAGCCCTAACTCTACTCAAAAGTCGCGCTGGCAGCAGAGCGAAAGGCCCTCTCTGAGCCTCCAGGCGACCACGCTGGGCGCAGGCGACCCAACACCTGCTTCGAGGCAACCCCGCCAGGGCCACAGAGGCTGGCGGTGCCTGTGCCAGCAGGGCAGGTGCGCAGGGTGACACGGCAGCTGCTTCTCAGGTTTCCCGGAGAACGACAGTAACCCCCGCATCCAAGCCCACCGCCGCCGGCGCGGGGGACCCGCCTCCGCACCGCCTTCCCGCCCGTAAACTGCTGTTGGGTCTGGGGCCCCGAAGGGTGTAAACACTTGGCTGGGCGGGGACACCGGTCACACATCAGACAGGAGACCAGACCCTGGACTAACACCGAACTTCTGTTGGACACAGGCCCGTTAAAGGGCAACGCGCCCCCCACTAAACAAAAGCTGAGCCCCTCGGGGAAACGTGGCGAGCCTCCTAGCAAGGCCGTCCGCGCGGGGAG